GGATCCTGGCAACGTCACCATCTTCGGGGAGAGCGCTGGGGGAGCTAGTGTTCATCATCAAATGTTATCACCAATGTCAAAAGGTAATCTTGTGTCTTACGATATAATCACCTATTTACGATCAATTTGAACCAAAACATGTTTATAATAGGCAAAAATGTCTGTGCGATGGTTGAAATAATATAACATTGTCAAAACGTAAGTCTAAACAGACACAGTACTTTAATTTGAATTATTTTACCGACGTGTAAAATCTCATCACGCTGATGACGGATATAGTGAAACATCTCAGAACACAGACATCTTTTGTGGTCTTCTGGGATGCGGTGTCTTGTAGTCTACAACACTACACCCAAAATACCACAATCGATGTTACAAATTGGGGTGGAAACATCCTTGGTGGCCAAGAAAGTATTATATTCATACTCGTCGCCGTGAAGAACCCTAAATGACAATATAAAACGTTAGCGTGGTAGATCTACTTATGTTTGTGATATTTTATCAGGGTTGTTTCAACGTGCGATCTCTCAGAGCGGCTCGGCGCTCAATCCGTGGGTTTTCTCAGATTCCACAATAGTTCGCAGGAAGGCTTTCAAACTGGGCGAAGTGTTGGGCTGTAAGACAACGAGTTCCAAGGAACTGGTGGAACACTTACGAGAAGTACCCGTAAGAGAACTTGTTGAAGTTGTGGACAAGGCCCTCACGGAGGAGGTAAAGATGATTAAATAATATGTATGTTTCAGAGACAACTAGCGAACCCCTCGACACATACGACGTGTCTACAGATTTACTTACACACTAAATATAAACAAACATTCTTGCCGACTTCGTTTCGAGATCAGAAGATTTCCATTTCCTAGCCAAACTTTTTATCTCGGAATATCTCGATTCTAACGCCTGCCTTAATCTTCTTGAACTGTGACTGTGACTGTGATCTTACTGTGACACGATGGTCTATAAATCTTCTCTTGTTTGACAGGAGAAACATCCTTTGCCGTTGTACTTTTCCCCAACGAATGAAGAAGAAAATGAGAGCGGAGAAGAAATATTTCTACCCGACAACCCAATCAACATCATAGCACAAGAGAGATTCCACAAGATTCCATTTATTATTGGAGTCACTGGAGCAGAGGGTATATTCTTACTAAAAGGTAAGAATAAGGGCTTTAAACTTAAGGCCTATACAACGTAAAATTTCACGTTCTAGGTATGTAAGATCTGATGAAATAAAAGGAAGAAATCATTACTCTCTGTAATGCAATACCCCTTCGATTGGTTTTGTCAGAAACACGTACAAATTCTAGTGAGTAGTCTTGTAGAAGTTTACCGACGTTTCAGAGATCTTGTTGCCTCCATCATCAGGGCGATGACCCCGAAACGTCGGTAACATTCTACCAGACTACACCGTGCACCCAAGACAGCCATCTTCAGACTCACCGCCGTGAAAACCTCAAATCCTACATTTTTCTCATCAGAAAGTAGATTTTAACAAGTCTTGAAACTAATGTCAATAAAAACCCATACTGCTGTCTGGTAAGACATAAATATATTTATTGATTTTATACACAGATGCTGAACAAAATCCAGAATGGATTGAGTCACTAAACGAAAACTTTGAGCCTCTCATAACAACGAACCTTAACGTTGACAAGAATACAGATGAATCCAAGTGTATTGCTAATAAAGTAAAGAAATTTTACTTTGGAGACGAAAAGATCTGTAAGAAGACTTGGCAGCAATATGTTGAAGTAAGTAGCCTAAATAATTAATAGACACGTGACTCCTGATTCGGTGTAAAATGCCTGTCCTAATCAATCTTTGTAGTTTTTCAGTGACATGTGGTTCTTGTATGGAATCAACTTAGCCGTCAAGATGCATGAGGCAGTTTCACAGACACCCATATACTTTTATAGATTTGCATATGATGGGAAAATGGGGCTCACTGACATGCTGTTTGGAACCGACCGTTTGCCAGGTATCGTACAGGACAGCAATGAACTCAATTATACTCCTAAGTCTATACGAGTGATAAGGACACCATCTTTTTAACGTACGGTGATATAAGTAGACAATTCCTCACCTTTTATGGAACCCGAAGGTCCAGTGCCGTCCGCCACTGGACCCTGTCCTCACCCACAATAATCCAAACCACATCCTCACATCTTCTTTAAGATCCGTTCTAATATTATCCTTCCATCTACCCCTAGGTGTACAATGAGGTCAGTTCCCTCAAGGATCCATCTTCTGGCCTTCACAATCATTTCAGGTGCATCCCACGGTGATGACATTGGGTACCTCTTCCATATGTCTCACCACGACAAGCTCCATCTGGGCCCCGAAGATGAATGCATTGAGGTATCAAATAGAATGGTGAAGATGTGGACCAATTTCGCAAAGACAGGGTAAGGTTTGCAGTCTGCAAAATTCGTAGCATATGTTCGGCTGTATTTACCTGTTTGATAATGTTCATCGACACTTAATATTTATAAAGTTTATGGACTTCTTCAATACGACAGTAGACTTATATCCGAGTCCTCCTGAGCCACTATTCACAATAGTTGTCGTAAACGCCATTTCAAGCTTAGCAGAAAATTCTAACTTCTCTTTGCTTTTTAAGGAACCCAACTCCAGAGTATGATCCGCTGCTGGAAGTAACGTGGGAGGCAGTCTCCAAATCAAACTACGTCTACCTGAATATTGACAAGGATTTGAGGATGAAGAAAGATCTTGAGAAAGAGCGACTGACCTTCTGGGAGGATGTTTACTCTTCGCTGTAGGTCAATACAAACGCATTAATCACTCTCGATAATGCGAGGAAAACCACAATATGCCGTTCAAGCAGCATTGTCAGAAAGGGTTTCTGTATCGGAAAAGGCTTATCAAATGAACGGAAAGAAGCACGTACACTTATAGGTCTAATTACTTTCTGAGGATATCATATAATTCCATGGAGAATTGAAAAATTAGTAGCTACTCAGTTAACCAAGAAATTTTTCACTTTTAGTTGCACCCGAACGTTCGTTAACATGTTTACAAGAGCCGCCACTAGGCTACATCTTCAGCTAGATGAATCAACTCCACACTCTCACAACATACTCTTTATTATTACTACTATAATAATAATTTGTTACTTGTGGTTTATTTGACGTTACCAGTAGTCAGTCTACACACCATAAAAGGAGAGTACCGGAATAATGAATCTGAAAGGATGCGAAAGGAAGAGGGCCGTGGCTTAATTTGAGTTATTATTTCAGTATTTGTCAGGACAGACTGAAAAGACCACGAAGTACCTCAGCAGAGCAGCCTGTCTCCGGGTCTAGATATAAACCCGGAACCACCTGAACCCGAAGTATGAGAGTTGACCAATTGGCCGCGACGCTGGGTAATACATACTGGTAAAGGACTCGAAGTAACATTTTATCATATATTCACCAATGCACACTAAACCCCAAGTTAATTTACAGTCTGCTACTGGATTATAAATCTGTTTTATGTAAATATAAACATATTTAAAACACCCCAGGTTTGTATTATTGGAAATGTGTGCACCGTGTCCGAATACCCTCGTTCCGTTAGCGGGATGTGAAATAAAAAAATATATAAATCACAAAATAGTACAACTTACTAATAGATTATATTTCACGGTATTGATAAAACAATTTTTGGCCCGATGTACACACTCTGCTTTTCTTCGGCTGTTACAGTCACTATGCGTTTCAAAAATTTTAACCTACGAAAGTCCAGCGTTCAGGAGATATTTTCACAACTTCAACACGTTCATCAGTCTCTACTACACTTTTGCCAACAAGGTCATAGTTATGCTCAAATAATTTGACAAATGGTAAGTTCGAAAAGTGGACTCCATTGTGTAATACCACTTTAAACAAACAGTTTCACCACAAAACCAGAACTCGTAATGTTTATTCTTCTATTGCACAGTTTCAAATAAATGTTGTGCTGGGTAAAATCAATTTATAATGTAATAATGGAGTGCAATACAGGTCTCTCCGCTGCCTCCTTCGAAGCTCAGAGCAAGGTCACACTTTCACATGAGCTGTGCAGGTATCGGCACGATCCATTCACGAGCGAAAGGTGTGTTTATTCTCGAACATTTATTACCTGCATCAAAATCTATTCCTACTTTTTGTGAAGCATTTAGCATTGCGTGTAACTGACGAGGCAGCAGCACTGGTAACAGAATTTAGCTGCATCTGGCCCTTCATAAAGCTGGAAGGTAAACCCAGGTAAGACAAGACATATTCTCTCTTCTGTCCGGTAGAGGCCTGCAGTTCAGTTCGTATCACAAAATCAATCGTGTAAGCATATGACTTGCAAAAAACATATTTTCTGCGCAACAGCTATGTCCAATAAGCTAATCAGATACTCTTTATCGATACAGTATAGTACCCGTCGGATACTGCGTTCAGAAGTTAACTCCTAACACAAATATGCCAGAAACAGTGATTGTCCGAGTGACTCAAGGGGGCCTAAGAGGGAAGAAGCAGACAGCAAAAACTGGTGCAGCGTATTACAGTTTCCAAGGGATTCCTTATGCTAAACCACCTGTGGGGCATCTCAGGTTCAAGGTACAGTCAAACTCTCTCTCTCTCTCTCTGATATATAGTCAGTGGAATAATGCTATGAGATTCGAAAACAACGAAGTATGTTTCATAACAGTTTAATTCTATTTTATGCTCATTCTAACATCCGAAAATAAGCCATGGCAGGTAACACACAGGTAAAAACTGTATTTTACTACAGTTATTTTTTCCAAAAATGTTCAGTTTCATGTTACTAAAGCAAGCAGTGTACGTATATTAACAATAATATCAGTGTAATTAACTTCTGAATAAAATACTGAGACGGAACGTGGTTAGTAACAGAAGTCCGCAAAGAGCAACAAATGGACAAAGAAAATAATGAGAAAGGGAAAATTATAAACCTGTTGCGTTCCCGGGAATTCGAAAGCAAGGGTTGGTCGAGAGGTTTCCTTTTGTTGGATATGAGGTTATCACGGTCAGTACGAAAATGCCTGTCTTCTGGGTTGTGACTCATCGCCCTGATAAAGGAGGCAGTAAGGACCTCTGAAACTTCGGTAAACTTCTACCAGATTACACGGCAACAGGGTCGTTGTCAACGGTGAATGTTCTGGGCTAGAAACTTGACCAAGCCGATTCATTACAAGGACAGTAATAATTCTTAGAACAGTGTCTGCTGCTTAAGGCAGTAGCAGTAGCCAGCCAGAGTTCTTGCTGGAAGCACGCAACGTCGGACATGGGCTAAACGGAATTTCGAATCAGAGGGAACGTAAAGTAACTGATATCATGACTTGCAGTATTTATACCTGTAAACAAGACATGTGATCTTGTAGAATGTATCCAGAAACTTTCGAAATTACAAACAAGTCCTCTGTTCTCTTACTATCTATGTTGAGCCGTTGTTTATCAGCTTGGCTGCGTGACTTAGCTGAACTTTGTAAAGATACGTTCACGATAAACTGAAGCAGCGCAAAATTGTGTACTTCACTGATGTTCCTCGGTACACGCCTGTCTACGCATATTATATGGGTTCTAGACTTTCTGAATTTGAGATTACTGTTCTTGCCATGCACATCAGAACACAGCACCCAACTCAAAACACCTGCATTCACTTTCGCCAGATCAGATTATTGGTGTTGGTACATCATGAATTATTTGTTGTTCGTATGTGTAACCAGCGACTAGCAACCTCTCTTCGTGGGGAATGTGATCTGGTACAGTTCATGTACGTTTGCAGGCTCCTGAACCAGCCCAGCCGTGGGAAGGGATTCGCGATGCGCGTACAGAGGGGTCTGTTTCGCCTCAAATAAGTTTTAAAGCAGTCGATGTCGTCTTCGGAGATGAAGATTGTTTGTTCCTCAACGTGTACACACCACAGGTAAAGAGATGTGCTTGTGTTCAAGTTCTCAATAACTGGCTATAATCTGATGTGATGTTCATTTATACAATGCAACGCATTGCAATAACTGCAACCCGAATTACATATATAGCTCAAGAAAAGAATATCTAAAACCACGCGACCTTAAATTCGGCAACAGTACATAATGCACGAGACACACACATATATTTTAATATGTCGTAATAAATATTTCTAATTATGATACATTGTGGGAAGCTGGGGAATCTATAAATAGACGCGCGTCCCACAGGGCCGAAAGTTGTGAAAATTACCATAATTCCACACCTTTTCTAATATCCGATTTAATATTAAATTTATACATTTTGATTTGTAAATTATTTCCTCTTCAATCTTGAGCATACGTGCATCTGTATGTAATGTTTCGCA